AGATCTGCAGGCAACAAAGTTTCTGTCCTCATGGAGAAACTAAACCAAAATAATGAAGTGAACACCCAGAGAGAAAATAGCGAGAACATGGATGGTGTTTGATTTCCTGGTTCCATCTACTCTAGGGACAACCCTACCTTTGCCTTTTCTCTGTCTGATTATGAACCTATAAATTCCTCCTTGGACTAAACAAGTTTAAGTATATTTCTACTACCAGAAATCAAAGAGTCCTAAAATAAAAGTGACGTGATCACAACTACCAGACTGTTGATCTATGAATCTTAGCCCCAGCAGCGCCCCAACTATCAATTGTTATAAAAATTATTTTCCCTAATATCATACCTCTAGGCAGGCAGTGAATTGGTGGGTTTCAGATATTCCTGTTTCCTATCTCTTTAATGCTGCTACTTTCATATATTGTTTTAAGTAATTTTCAAATAATCTCATTTTTATGAGCTGATAATTAATTAATATGGCATATCCCAGAGTTTTCCATGAAAACAACAACAACATTTTGACAGCATAGTAAATGCTATTTTAAAAAAAATTGATGGAAAAACAAATTTGAGAAACACTAGATAATAAAGTTATAAAGTGGTTTCTTTACTACAAGACTTATTAGAATTATTGAGTATGGTAATATGTATTGTGAATATCTGCCACAGATAACATTTTTTTCTTATTTTATATTAGGTTCTTTTTTTAATAAATTGTCTTGTGAAATGAGACTCCCTCAATACATGCTTGAGGAAATCAATTTTCTCCTAATTCTGTAATAAATATTTTACTTTTTCAAATTAAAAAGAGGTATGATGCAAGAGCTTTGTTTAAATGTAAGCTACAGATTACTGCAACGCAAGTGATATATTCAACCTGTGGGTTAATAATCCTCTACTAATATCTGTGGCAAGGATTACAAATATTAATAAACTAGAGGCCCGGTACACAAAAATTTGTGCACTCGGGGGGGAGAGGGGGTCCCTCAGCCCGGCCTGTGCCCTCTCGCAGTCTGGGACCCCTTGGGAGATAACGACCTGCTGGCTTAGGCCCGCTCCCGGGTGGCAGAGGGCAGGCCTAATCCCTAGGTGTAGCCCCTGGTAGGGCTCAGAGCAGGGCTGATTGGGGAGTTGGGGCGCTGCCCCCTGTCACACACAGAGCAGGGCCGATCAGGGGGGTTTGGTCGCTGCCCCCTGTCACGCTGATCCCGGTGCCGGGAGGCATATTACCCTTTTACTATATAGGATAGAAGCCTGGTGCACGGGTGGGGGCTGACTGGTTTGCTCTGAAGGGTGTCCTGGATCAGGGTGGATCCCGCTTGGGTGCCTGGCCAGCTTGGGTGAGGAGCTGATGGCTGTTTGCAGCTGGTCACACCCCCTTCAGGGTGGGGGTCCCCACTGGGGTGCCTGGCCAGTCTGGTTGAGGGGCTTC